AGTTATTTAAATTATTATTTTTTTTTATTATTATTATTTAAATTTCAAGCTGATTTGTTAGCTATCGCTATTAACACATTAAACCGGGTTATATCTAAATGAACTCAGCTGCTATATTCTACTATTCTTGCTAACTGCTTTCTAAAACCAATATACCCGTTTGTTTCATTTTGACTTAGACCATGCAATGATACCCTAGCTCAGCTCTATGAAACCTGCTCTAGTTGTTTATATACAGCTGATACACCCGTTTCATTCCATTTCATTAGACATAAAAATACCCTTCCGAATCATAGCAAGCGTTGCCAGATGTGGGCATTATTTATCCATTAGACTGCGAGACCTTTTCGTGTTGCGCTTGGAGAACTGGTTTAATGGCTTTTCGATTGTTTGCAAACAAATCTCTTCTCAGCTCAAATATATTTCAGTTTAAACTTTTATATGACATATAATCAAGCTTTTTTGCGCTTTAAGTGTTAACTAAATGGCTTGACTTACGGGTAATTATATAACAAATGAATCATGTGGAATACTCGAAAAACTATTTAGAGAGGGAGGGAAAGAAATAAATTGTAATTTGTCGACGTACAACAGACGAACGAATCGAGGCTAAGGGGTTAATAAAGCAGAAGGCAATGCCAATCTATTGCCAGAGTCCTCGGAGCCATAAAACGTCTGCGGGTGACGCCTCGATTGATGGCCCGGCGACAGGCAAGGGGCCGCTGCTCATAGGGCTGACAACGAAAACAATCATCAAAAGGACAAAAACAAACACTAAGCACGGACAATGGGGCCCAGACAATCAACGTTGGAGGGGGCCTGTGACAGTGATGGCAAATATATAGAGTACATGGCATATTAAACAAGAATGGGGCTTACGAGGTGCGGTAGGCAGCCTAACGATTGCCCTAATGGCCGCCAGACATTATCGCAGCTAAAAAAAATCGATACGAGCTGCTTACATTTTCCTACGCCAGTGCCCAATTCCAAGTGAAACTTTAGAAATTTTCACGCCAGGCCAACGCACGCGATGCAGTTGCGTCTTCTTGCCATTAGCAGAACAAGATTGGGGTGTGGCGGGGCGGTGCGGCGTCAGGATGAGAGCGTAGCTATACGTCAAGCGAGCAAAGTTTAAAAGTCATGTCTGTATTTTTTTTGCTTCTTTTTGGCGCACGGAAATCCTCGCTATTTCTAAAAACAGAGTCAGAAATCAAGACAGTGCATTTGTATGTGTGTGGCTGCGAGGGTGGTCTAACAAAATCATCGATCTTAAATGTAATGAATCAAAAAACAAAACATAGGGAAAAATAAAAAAGAATTAAAATTTTTTTTTTTTTTAATCTTTTGCTAACCCAAAAATGTTAAATATTATTTTATTCATTTCTTATATATATTTTACAAGGAAATGAGCAGCGTTTCAATTTTACATTTCTTTGTATCTACAAGCTCTGCGGACATTCGTATTAATATCAACAACAACAAAAATTATTTGTCTCAGTGTAATAATGTAAATAATATTTTCACTCTTTGTTAAAGTGTAAAGTCGCTGATTCATCTGCTTATAACAAAAATACTTTATTATATGAGCCTTGAGCTCTTTAGCTTCTCTTCCATTAATTTCCACAAATATATTCTGTTGCCTTTCATTTTTTAATTTCATTAAATTATTATGTGTGGCGCAAATTGCAGCATTAATTTAATCTCTTTTTCGCTCGTTGACAGTTGACATCAATTGCTCATTTATTATTCATATTATTCTTCATTTACCCTTGCTTGTTTCTGTCTCCTTGATTATTTTTGCTGGAATTCTTAGGTCCCTTCAATTGTCCGCCATTTTGAGCTGGAGTGAATAATATTTGGCAAGAAATGCGTTGCGCAATTTGAAAATTAAATATAAGTCCTTGGATGCAATAATATTTATCACGAAGTTGTTCAACATTCTTTACAATTATATATAATATAACTCCAATATGTATAATAAGTAAGCATCAGCACAGCAGTTAATAGAGTCATTAAGCCTTTATAATTGCACGATGAGCACAGCACCAAATCTACGCTCTCAATTCATCTACCTTGCTCGCTCATACAACAAGGAGATCAACGACAGCTCAACCAATGACAGCAGCGCTCGCTGAGCAAAGGCACACTGCTCTCTCTTTCTATTCAACACGAATGCATTTTTTAAAGTAAAGCAACGAACTGCTGATTACCAATACAATTGCACCAAGAGCAGAGGCTTCACCGTCACACATATGCAATATACGCTCTATAAATAGATCAGCTCCAACAATAGTAGCAGCGCTGTGCATATTTATACATACACTTGCGCTCATATTTATGGAAGCCTGCATTTGCATATCTAATGTAGGAAAGGAGAACCTGAATGCTCTGCTCTCTCCTGCCCGCTCTTGAATGCTAAATTAAAGAGATCAAAATTCATGCGTCATCTCTTTTACTCCTGCATTTGCTTATGCCACTGCCTGGTACATTTACTTATAGATGCGCAATTACCTTTATTATATTGTACTGACCCTGCCGCTCTTTAATGTTAAGCTAAAGAGATTAGTACTGATGGCAACAACGTCATTTCCCTTACTTCTACACTTTCTTACAGCTCTACTGTGCCATTGCAGGCAAATTCTTTATTCTCTCATATTAATTTTCAATTTAATTAATGCAAATGATTTTTTACACCCACATGGGAATGCCCAGCAGTAAGTAATTTTCCCACATTTACTTCAGGCGGTAAATTAATTTTTATGGGTCAAGGATGTGAAGTGCTTTGCGTGTGTTCCATATCATACGAAAAGAGTACATCGAAGAAATCCATATGATATTTATGGCTTTGCCTTAAGGGTGCCCAAACATAAGGGTTGGCCCATTAACAAGCTACGAAATTGGCGTCTCGACTGAAACTCTTGAGACAGAAAGACAGAGACAGGCAGAGAGAAGGCCGAATTGCGTGCTAGTAAGGTGTGTTTATTGGGCAAATTACAAAGTCAATAAGTGAGCCAGAAAAAAAACGCCTCACTAGGATTTGAATATTAAAGAGAGAGAAGAGAATGGTATAAAAGAAAATAATTCTTTTCAAAGCGATCGCTTATATGTATAAGATATGTATTAGAGTGACAAAAGGATTTAATTTCTAAGAGAGTTGAAGATTATGTGATAAAGAGCAGTTCTTTATTATTTTATTTAGTTCTTTTTACGATAAGATTACAATTAAATATGTGGGTAGATTTTTCGTATTTAAAAATACTTTTTGAAGGGATTGCTTGTAGCCAATATTATATATATAAGACATGCTACATATACATATGTATAAGAGTGACATTCTTACCATTCTCAATTGTCTCCTTGGCACAGGATATTATTTTGCCTTTGCGACGTCGCAAATTCGATTCGAAATTGTTATCCTCGCTGAATTCGTCATCTCGCAGTGTGGCAGCTGCTGTGCCAGCGGCTAAGTCGCCGGCTGTCGTTGTTGTTGTTGTTGCCGTCGAATCCGGCACATCCTCCGAGGACTGTCGCTCCGCATAGTCGCGCCGTCCGCCCCCACCTCCGCCTCCGCCGTGCGTTAAGCTATCAAAACTTTGGCTCATTGTGTGCCAAAATAAAAATGAAAATAATAAAAAATAAAACTAAAAACAAATATTGTCTTTTCCTTTTTTTCTCTTTTGTGGCTTTCTATTATATTGCGTTTTGTTTGCCCCTTGTTTTCTTTCTTAATTTTTTGTCTTTTTTGTTCACTTTGGATATTAGTTTTCTTTGATGAATTATTTCTCGAAATTGTGGAGTTTCGCTTTTTGTAAAAAAAAAGAGTGTCGTGGCGTGTTTATTACGTAAAAGTATTACGGAAGTCTTCTGGAAAAACATTCATTCATTAATCTTTTCTTTTACAGTTAAACATAAAACTTGCCGATTCACTGATATTGCTTATGAATTGCGGAAGAGTATTAAACGAAACACGCGAACTTACCGAATAACTTCAATTACAAAATTAAAAATTCATAAAAACAGCCCACTGTGCAAATGGAATGCCTTAAGGACCGTAAATTTTGGTTAAATTTCAATAAGTGCAGCTATTCATTTGAACGGAGCTGTGAGAGAGCTCAAGAGAGAGCAAGTCATATTCACAGTTGAACTTTGTAAACAAAAAGAAAGAGAAGGAATAAGGCAAAATAAACTGTTTTTTGTAGTCTTCCACACGCAACGCCGGCTAAGCATGCGTGCGCGGGCTGGGGGAATTTTTGCCATGCGGGGTAATATTGCAAGTAACGGGATCTTGCATACAAAACATCCCCGCTCGGGTTCAATGTGCGTTGCCGTCACTAAACAGTTACATTCTTGTTGCCTACTTTTAGTTGTTGTTGCTGCTGTTAGTGTTGCTGTTGTTGGTATTGTTATTATTGTTGTTGTTGTTCATCAAAGCCGCAGCAACAACAGCGACGAGTGCCACTTGAAGCCGTTATTTCATAATCGCTAAGAAGCGATTTAGGTTAAACCAATGCCACAGCGACAACAACAACAAAACTCAACACAAACAAACTTCAATTAATGCACTCCGTTTTCACTCAAATATAGCACACTTTTTAGCGCAACACAGCATTTGCATTTGATTTGGGCAAATGTAAATTCTTAATTCATTAAATACCACCAAAATGTTTTAGTTTTGTAATTTATTGCGCACCCGGTCGAAATAACGTTCACACGCTGGAAAATGCCGTCAGAGACTGAAATGACACGCAAATACTAAGCGGAGCAAAAGTTCAACACATTTGCAGAGAGAGAGCGCGAGAGCACGCGTGGTGAGTTTCGCATTTATTGATTTTGTTGTGTGCGTATGCGTACGTGTATATGTGTATGCATGTGTGAAAGTGTGCGTGCGTGYTCAAAGACAAAAACATAGCAAGGCAAAAATTTGTATTGCCTTTTTTGTTTTCATGCACGCCTCACGATTCCTGCAGGGGCCCGTTAAGGGAGCCGCATGCTGCAGACAGCATGCAAAAAGCCGGCATATAACAAAGCAGAGCAGAGCACAGCACAGCACATGGCAGGCAAAGAGCAAGCGAAAGCATTACAAATGCAAACCCCAAAAAGAACAAACATATGATTATCTTGTCAAAAGCTATGCCTCTCTTTTTCTCTATTTGGTTTACATATATATGTAGCTCTGACAGTTAGTTTGATCTGTTGCCTTTGGTGTAGCTCTCTTTAAATTTATTAAACTTAGTTTATTAAGAGAAATTTAATTGAAAGCCGTTAATAAATACTTTGTCAAACGAAAAATGATTTTATTTAATTCAGATTAATAAAATGTTAAACAAATTTGCAATAATTTTGTTTAACAAAAATAATGATTAGGTGCATTCCTCGAATTTTGTTTTTTAAATATTCATATAACTTTGTGTTATAAGATGAATTATAAGATTAACATAATTTACGTTTAGTAATACCCAATGTTAATGTTGTTGTATTTTTTGAAGCTCTTCTTCTGGTTGTTGCATTTTTTTCTGTTGTTCGGTTTGTTAGAATTATTGTTTTTGTTGTTGTTCTTTTTGTTATTGGTAAGCAAAAGTCGATATTTATGTTATATAGAGTAAACTAATTTAGTCCCAATCTTGTTCATCCTCCAAGTTGACGGGGTTGGCATTATTAACCTATGAACATAAAGAAAATACAAATAGAATAAAATATAATATAATTTTTGAAATTAAATGTATTTTCAATTTCTTACTTACATGTCTTGCCAAAAAGCTGAGTGACAATGCCGCCACTAGTA